TCCCTAAAAGAGAGGGACAATTCACGTACCCCAGAGGGCATGTGAAGGGAATGTGTCTTGTTGATTTAGGGACTCCTTCCAGAAGTGCTGGTAGCACAAAGATGTTGGCCATGCAGAAAGAGAGCTTTTCACTTAAGATGGTCACCATTCTTTGTAAAAGTCAAGAGAGATCAGCACCTCAGAGTGGGACTGGCTGTGTGAAAGGGCTAGCAGTGGCGAGGACAGCCCTGCCCACGGAGTGTTTTAGGGCACTGAACTCCAGGTGAGACACAGACATATTGGTTTTAGTGTGATAGGCCTGATTATGACAGAATGGGACTCAGAAATTGTAAAAAAAATAAAAAGTGAAGAGGCAAATAAACCAGTCTGGAGGAATGGAGAGGCTCCAGAGCACATGTGCCAGGACAGGTATTGGAGCCTGTGTGGAGAAGCTGAGGGACATGAGCTTCTTTATCCTGGTGAAGTAAAGGCTCTGGACTCCACAGTAGTACCTGGCAGCTGCTTCAAGGGTGGTTTCAGAGATGATGTATCTTTTCTTGGTAGTGGAAACAGAGGGAAACCTCCACAAAGTGCCGCTTGGAAAGTTCAGACTGGAGGGGATGAATAAGAATTCTCACTCAGAGAGTATCCTTGTGGTGCAAGAGGTCACCCAGAGGGAGTCTGCATCAGCCTATGGCTTTGTCTTTCAAGCAACAGCCAGCAATGGGTGGAGAGACATCAGGGAAGGTCTAGAAATGCTGTTGTGAGACCCAGGTGAGAAAGCAAGATGGGTGTCTACAGTCTGAAAGGAAAGAGCTGCAGGTATGGGACACTGTGGGATAGTCTGCCGTCAAGATGGGCAAGGGCCCTGGCAAGGCTGAAAGGCCACACAAGACCAAGGTCTTTGTCCCCTGGGCTAGGACACTTGCATCTGCCACTGAGGCCTACCAGGAGAAACTGGATTTGCAGGCTCTGCTCTTAGTTTGCTCCTCAACCCTTCTTGGCCAAACCAGGACAGGCTGTACAGTTATCCTTCACTTGGCATTGCTCACCCCCACACCCCACTGCCCACACAAAGAGCCCTGAGCCACACAGGAGGGACAGGATCTGCCTTCCCAGGGCCTGCGGGTCAGGG